CTTTACTACTGTGTGGGAGATGTGTTGGAACATGTGACGTGCCATACAAGAATACACAAATGCAAGCTAGTGTTCTTAGGTGAAGATGCTCACTTGTTGGGACTACTGGTAAATGTTCATGGATTTATAGACACTGTGCAGTCCACCAACAAACCACATTTACCACCATCATTTTGGGAAGGTGCTGAGTTAAGTGTTTCTCCCATTCAGACAAAACACATAGCTGTGTTAAGAAAAATACTGGGCACTTTTTACTGTGAGTTGGAGGTTCTGACTTCAAAAGCTCTACTGCTTCTCACTTTGGAGTAAAGAAATTCTTGTTTTGAGTTGCCTTAGAAAACTTAGTTGCTAGTAGAAACTTAGCACAGAATAGACAATAGACGGTGATTTCTGCTCTTAGTACTGGTACTTTCTGGTTGTGTGTTGATACAGAGTGGAAATTAAAGACAAGACTGGATTTGCTGTGTGAGCTAGCCATATTGTTCAGAGGCATCCCTCCTTAGGGTTGAACAGAGTTAAGTGTAGCTTGTATTAAAAAATAGAGAAAAGGGAAATAAAAAAGGACATAGTTAAATAAAGCCGTCAGAGGAAAAGTTCTAGCTTTAGATTGCCCTGGTTTTCCAAATTATGAAAACAAATTTAATTTTGGATAGCTAAGGGTGGACAGAAGGTACTGGACTAAACTTGACAGTCAGTACTTACGGGATGGTTGAAGCGAGTCAGCAATTTTCCTGTCAGCTCACTGGCTTTGTAATGTTGAGCACTGGAAATCAGGCCTGATCCCAAGCAGGTCTGAATACCTGTCATCCATTGAAAGAATGAGAGTGGAAGGTGCTCGTGGCTAGACAAACTAACCTAGGAAGAGGTAGGATAGATATGTATATCAAAGACAACTGCACTTACAAGCCTATGATCAAAACCTTAGTGCAAAAGGAGGAAGCGGTCAGGAAGTAATTTCAATTATTGTGTATACAGCCATGCCCTGACATGCATCCTGAAACGGTGTCCTTGAAATTATAAAATTATGTCCTTTTTTCATTGCTATCTATCTGGTTGCCTTTGTCATCTACAAGACTTGCCTTCTGCCTTTTACAAAATGACTTGTTAACCATTACTGCAGGTAACTGTCCCTGACACTACTCTCTGAAATGCCGAGAAGCTTCACAGCTACACACCAGGGCTGACATAACGCCTCTTCCTTCTTGGCACTGCAAAAAGCCTTGCAGCGTACAGCAAACAAGTCTGTTGCCTCATCTTAATTGGACCTACATAAAATAAAGATGATGGAGAACTTGATTCCAAAAACAGGGGTGAAGTAGAAGCCAGCTGAAGCTCAAAATCTCTGTAGCAGTAAGCAAGATTAATGGTGTTGAAATAACACCCTATTTTGTTAATTGAATGGGAACTTCCCAGTGTCCAAGTGAACTTAGTCCTGCTTTCAGCCTCCATTTGCACAAGACATCTGACAATTTTGCAGCTGAGAACAAGGACCTTTTGAAAGCAACAATCCTTTTGTGCCTTGTTAAGAGAGGAATCTGAGACTTGGAAGGTGTGGTTATTAAAGAGTTTATCCCAGAAGCTTGTGTAACAGATGTTTCTTTTTCCTTGTAAGCTGTTCAGTTCCCTAAAAGTAATCCATTTGGTGAAAATACTTGAAGATATATACCAAGTCCTTTGATATTTTTGGGTTTTTAATTTTACAGGAAAATAAAGAATGGTGATTCCCTTCAGAGAGTTAACTAGAACACTTCAGTGTAGCTTCCTTTCTGGTATACATTTTTTTAATTTATTGCTTGGGGGGAGGGGGAAGACATTAATAATTTTGCCTCCACTTCAGTAACAAGTCAGTCAGTTGAACTGTAGATATCTAAGTGCTGGTAACAGGTTTTTCTGCCTTTATGATTGTAGAGTGCAAAACCAATTTAATTAAATTGTTTTCTGGATTTACACATGGAAATGCTGATCTGCAGGTTTCCTATTCTAAGCATATTGAGACTTTGTGCATTGATTTGTTTTGGCTACTGGGGGTGGGGGGGAGACGGGACACATCCCACTTTCTAGTGATTTCAAGGTGGTTTGGTTTTAAAATACCAAAGCTGTTGTTTCTAAATAAATATCTTTCAGTCTAATCTGATCACCAAAGTGTAGTTGTTTTTCCTTTCTTTTCTTCGTTTTGTGTTCTCCCCTTGCTCCCCACCCAGTTAAAACAAGCAGAGCCTTATGTTAATCTGTGGCCAGTATTGACTACAAAAGTGCTTGGACTGAAAGAAAATATGGTGTAGAAAATAATACATAAATGGGTCTAAGCTGGGAACAGACAATGTAGAACGCACAATAAGAGACAGAAACGCACAGGGTGCTGCTAATTTCATTTCCCTGGCGCTGTGTAACTTTGTTCTATCTTGAGGCATGCAGGCCAAGCTTTAGTTTTAAGAACGCACAAAAACGAACCCAGGGAGCAATCAAGTAGATTTAACGGCCATCCAGCAAGTAATGAATTTGGCACATTTGGTGCTCCCAGTGAAAACTGGGGTGAGATTTAACTTTGAATTTTTAAATAGGTAACTGTCTAGTTTCAGATGAAAAACCTCTCTCAGAAAAGTAGATTTCTGCGGCTGTTGCTTATCTGCAGACCATTCCGCTCACTAATTGGTCTAGCATAGTTACTGCCCTACAAGGGAATAGACTACAGATAGTGAAGCAATGGAGTACATTATAAATCATACACTAAGTAAATTGTGTATTGGAAGAGATATTAGCTTTTATGCTTTAACAGAACATACCAGAAGTTCCTGCTCTTTCTTACTGAAGGTCTGTGAGCTGCTTAGTTTCTGTGAAACATCTGGCACAAAGATGATAAGAGCTTCTAGGGAACTGTTTCCAAGCCACCATGGTATCAGCTGGAGGCTGAGCCTTTTGATATTCACTTGCAGAACTGCCAACAGTATGATGCCCGCTGAGTCCAAAAAAAATACTTCAGCCTATTTAGACTAGACCTGAAAAAGATGGATAAGCAATTGTTACATAAAGCAGGAGTGGAGCTACAACAGAAAAAAGCAGCTTTGAGAATGCTTTACATTAAAAATATGATGATTCTTATGAGCCTTCCCTCTATATAATAAAATAACTGTTTCAGAATTCCTTTACAAAGGAAGGAGGGAAAAAAAATAGGGTTTCTCTATTACTTACAGTGTGCAAGATAGCAGAAAGTTATTTGTGAAATGATTGCAGAAATGCCTAAAAAACTAAACAAAATTTCATGTTTACAAGCATAAACCAGGGAAGTTGAAATAGTAACTGAGCATCCAAAATACATACTTAATTTTTAGTTGGTATTCAATGAAAATGATAGTGGCATGGAAGTGAAACTGAAAAGCACAATACATTGTTCAGCTTGTAAATTCAGACATTAAGAAGAGAGCCAACTAATTAATGAAAAAAAGTTTTAGAATCTCAATTCTGCACTCAGTTGATCCTGATTTATGCTTTTGTCAGATAATAAATACAAGATGCCAGAACAGAGTTTGGTTGATTCCATTTGAAATTCAGAATGCAGCTTTCTCAAGTGCTATTGTTTGGGTGGGATAACACATTCTTGAGAAACAGACAAAACAGGAAAGCATTATATATTTCTGCCTTCCACATGTGCGCTCTGGGCATCTTTCATCCAAATTAGTACCTACTTCTGAATGGAAGCTATGAAAATCAGGGATTTTGCTGCTTGTTAATACTGACATTAAACAATAGATTTATTTCAGCTTTTTTGAAACCTCTACTTTGGTCTGTACGTACAATGCAACTCCGGCTACAAAACTGGCATTATGATATTTGTTTCCATTCCGATAAGTTTGCTCCCTATGCAAACTGGGTGTTGTGCACTGGCTGTGTGTGACCTGGCTTAGGGGATAGAGACGTTTGATTTTTAAATAATCACTAACAGTTTTTCAGGTGAAGGGTAGGTGAATGGAAACATGATAGAGGATGGGAAATTCCCATAGTAGAAGAAAAAAAAATGAAGAAAGAGGCATGAGGGTATTGCTGATACCAAGATTGATCTCAAATGTTCAGTAATGAATTGGGACACTTTCTTTTGTGGCAGCAGCTCTGTAGTGGTCTAAATGCCCGCTCTTGCCTGGTTTGTTCTGTTCATGAAAATGGTCTACCCTTTTTCATTAACAAGCTCACACTGTGTTATACCACAGGTCAGCATGCTGATTTGAGGTGTAAAAACGCTCATTTGCAATGCTACAGGAACCCTGTTCTCTTCTGGAGATGTTCTACTGACCTAACAATTAAAGGTAAATAGGAAAGAAATGAAGTCTGGCCCATCATGCTACACCAATGTTTCTCCATCATTGTGGACAGCTAGTTCTTTGTATTGCTTGAAACATCTTCCACTTCAAAGTGATTACAGTTTGCTGTATTGAAGTATGGCATGCTAAAACACATGCAACTTGATCTCAAAAAGAAGATACAGGTTTTCAGTCAGTACAAAGTGGTAGTTCCCATTCAGTCACAAAAAAACCCAGAACAAAATTAAATTTCAAGCAATCACAGAATCATACAATAATTAAGGTTGGAAGAGGGCCTTCCAGAGATCATCTAACCCAATGCCACTGACATGTCTGAATCTATCACTGTCTGTATCAGACACTGTAACTCCTGACATACCATCAAGTGTTAGAATAACTCATTTAATATTTTCCTTCTGAAAACACCTTTGTGATGAACTTTCAAGGCAATGGGAAAACAACAGCTGCTACAGATAATACACAACTCTGAATTTTTTTTTAACCAAGTTGTTTATACAGCCTGGATCCAAGGTCCATCTAAACTGTTGGGGTTTTTTAGGCACTTGTGCATATAAAAAATTATCCCACAATTACACAAGTTTTCCATTGGTATCAGAATAGTACTGCATTTTAAGTCACGTGTCCCAGAGATAAACGATAATGCATAAAATGGCTTGCAGAGCAGAGCCTGCAGCATACAGCTAACCGGTATCATGCTTGGAATCCTCTTTGCTGTGTTGTCTCTGGCAGCCGCAGGTACGTGCCCAATTTTAGCATTAGTTTTAAAGGAAAAATGAATTAAAATCTAACAGCAACTTTCTTTTTTTTTAGGAAAATTAGACATTCTGCAACAAAGCAGAGAGAGATACAGCATAGGCAGTTAATTAAAAAGTTCTCTCAAAACAATAACTAGGTGCTGTGCTATTCTATTGTTATTATAAGGGCTTGATTAGCATTACTGCTCTTAGCCTTTAGCAAATGCAGAGTTATCTTACTTAGCTTCAATACACTGAAATACAGTTAACCTACCTCAAATTGTTGCGTTGGCTAAGAGCTGCATCTCAGTTGACACATGAGAATTTGGTTAAGCCAACTTGATTTGATTATCTGTCAGAACGATGAAACTGTTCAAACAGGCTTTATATAACATTGGTCAGTTTTGACTGATGGCTCAATCTTCACTTGTATCACATTAAATCACAGCCTATATTTGTACCTTGCAATGTTCTGTACACTGTCTATATTTAAAAAACCCAAGCCTCTCTTACAGATGTTTTTTAAGCCTCCTACTTTTAAAACTTGCATCCTATTTTGTATGTCTTCTAGCCTTTGGCTGTGGGGTTCCTGCCTACCCACCCTTTGTATCTAGAGTGGTTGGAGGGGAAGACGCAAGACCTTACAGCTGGCCCTGGCAGGTTAGTCATTTTGTGCTTTCCCTGGAACAATTAGGGTTGTACTGCCCTCACACAACAGGGCTGAACGAAACCAGGTTTTATATTTCATTTGATGCATCTTGCCTGTCATGTCCTAGGTTTTGAATATTACATTCTGATCAATCCTAAAGTTTTCAGTCTTTTTAAGAAAGCTCTGAATGTGCCATCTCTCTTGCCGGTTATGCAGGCTTTCATGTTCTTTCAGTAGTCTTGGGCACCATCCCATATTTAAGCAAGACAACTGTGAAATTCAGTGGAGCATGCAATGCCTACTGGAGCATAGTTGTACATAGAGTTAAAAAATACATTTCTGAAGCAAATGAAATGTTCTATTTGGGCCAGGCTTAGCGAGACCTTTGGAAGAAACATTTAAAAAAAAAAAATCAAGCTTTTGGATGATAGGGAAGGAGAGAAACCTTTTCCATGGCCAGGAGTTGGAAACTTGCTGCTTAAAAGCCTCCCAGCATCTTGCAGCAGCAAGCTGTGTTTGGGGTGCAGGAAGAAATTGCAACAATGAAAAAATCAGTAAGCAAAAATCTGAGCCTTACTTGATGCGTTGATCCTAGGCCTCCCTTCAATACAGTTCAAACGGCAAATGGTACCACACCTGTGGAGGAACCCTCATTGCCACCAACTGGGTGTTGACAGCTGCACACTGCATCAGGTAAATACCGGAGTTAAAGTCTGTACCCAGGAAGCAGCACATGACCAGAGGTAGATGAAGCAAAACCGTATTAATGCCAGTTCTCCCTTTCCCAATTAAGAGCTCAAAGTTTCACATCGTATCTTTTGATTATAACTAACAGGTCAGAAGAAGAATGACACCTTTTCATTTTCTTAAAATAAAAGTAGAGGGGAAAAAACCCCTCATACAGTTACCTGAACTATATAGTTTTCATGTTCTGTAAATAACTACAAACGTCATTATGTTTTCAAGTTGGTATTAAAATTCAGCTGTGTCACCTGTTTCTATATGTGGCAGTGAGATCCACAGATTAACTAATCAATTCACTCCCCAAAGAAATAATCACAAATGCTTTGAATATACCAGTCATTTTCAGTAAGCTCTTCACATTATGGGGCAGTATAACAAAGAAATGATCAGGTACAGCTTTCGTCATCAAAACTGTTTCCACAAAGACAACCCCATTTTGGTTTGGTAGCATATGCCCTTGAATATGTACATATAGTTCTTGGTTATGGTAACGCTAAGTGGTAGAAAATACCATAATATGAAATAAGAAGGATTGGCTGCATGTTATTATTAGAAATCCTACATATTGTATTTATCACACAGCTGTTTATCAGTGAAACTGTTTATCGCTGTCAAAAAAGCAGTCCAAATTGTTTACTTCATTGAAGAATACAAGCTGAATCCTGCAAAGATTGGAGAAATCTTGAGTTTGTTAATGAAGCCTTAAACGGGAGTTGACAGGATGGCTTGGAGGTGAAATGACTATTAAGCCTAGCACACGATGCTTTGTCCTTCGCAAATCAGTCAGACATTGGCTCAGCTCCAGACAAATCATGCACGTGATGTGAGACTTCAGTCTTAAGGATATTGTTACCGAATATCTCAGGTGGCAAAGATGCAGATGCCAAAGCAGCAAGCCAGCAGCTGCGTAACTGAGTGTCCTTTTCTTGCCCAGTTCTTCTCTGAATTATCGAGTATTTCTTGGAAAATACAACCTAGCAGCTACAGAAGAAGGATCAATTGCACTTCCTCCAGAAAAAATCATTGTCAATGAGAACTGGAATCCACAGAATGTTGCAAATGGGTAAGCTGGTGGCAAGTATTTTTTCAGTTAATAGATGCAGGACAAAAATCAAACTGCCTGGATCCCACCCACCCTGGGTTGTGGAAGCTAAATGCATAAATGTTTGGAGCATCTGTTACAGCTTACAATAGTACTTCTAAATGTTTAATCATAGGTGAGAGTTGAGTCTCCAGTTTGTACCTTTCCCCCTCAAGAGAAGATAAAGAACTTCCAATATTAATTGCTTACTGATTAATTGTGTTTTCAGATGCCATTTTGCATGTTTATGCTTGGATGGGAAGCTGTTCTATGCAATGATTTCTTTCATACAGTGGAAGGGAATTAATTAATTTATATAACACTCTTTGAAGCCCTCTGATGAATGGCGTAAACAGAGAGTATTGTTGATCAATGGCATTAATATTTTTTTTGCTGAAGGACTCCTACAAAGAAGTCCCCTCAGTTTCATGGTCCTTGGAGTTAGTCCTAACACACACTGATTTTAGTGAAAAGAACCTATAAAAGGCAATTTCCAGAAAGCTGCCAACAGGAAAGCAGACAGCTCTGCAGGGAACAGTCTCCCAGTCCATGGACTTCCCCATTGCTCGAGGGTGGAGGCCTCCTTGCTCCCTGGCATCTTTTTAATAGGCCAAGTGCTGTTTAACTGCTAAGTATTCATGCTACTGTATCTTAATCTATTTGCAAACCTCTCCACCCCTTCCCCACACTCAAATGTGTGCATATGACCACAGGTACGACATTGCTTTGATCAAACTCACCAAACACGTCACCTTAAGCGACCACATTAGGCTGGCCTGCCTCCCCCCTGCACAAAGTATCCTATCATCCAACACTGCCTGCTACGTGACAGGATGGGGAAGACTGCAGAGTAAGTACTTGGCCATTTGCTAAATTATGGAACAAAATCTTCCAGTACTGCCTTCTCCTTTGGGATTGACCGGAAAAAGGCCGTTGATGGTGCTCAAGATCCCCTCAATTGTAGTGAGGTAGTTTATCAGGTTCCACTTCACTCGCACAGTATGATTTTTTTTCCTGCCTTTAGTTCATTTTGCTTGTAATGAGGCTAGTAACGCACTAGAGGGCCCTGCACTAAGCTGTTAGAAGCTATTGTAACACAGACGTTAACAGTGAGCAGACCGGTGAATTTTCTAATCCTAACATACTCCGCTGAATAACTGAAAAGACACATAAGGGAATAAATGTAAAGTTAAGAAAATCTCAGAGACCTCAACAGAAGCATCAGCTCGGCTCAAGAGGCAATTCCCAGAGTGATAAGTAAATTGTAAACTCCCGAACAAAGAGTGGCCCTTTATTTCTCTAACGAGACATTTTTAAGTTAAGGCCTTTTATATATGTGTGTGTATATACATATATAAAAGAATGGAGCTAAGGAATGGATCATATTTTCCTTTAACACAGCCCTGGTGGAGTTCCTTACCTGGAGGGATAATACCGAGATCCTGGGAGAAACTTAACAACGCAGTTTTGTTCTTTCTTCAATGCCAGCTGGTACCATGACTCCTTTGTTTCTGTTCCCTCCCAGCAAACGGACCTCTTCCAGATGACCTGCAGCAAGGCCTTTTGCTGGTGGTGGATTATGCAACTTGCTCCAAGCCTAGCTGGTGGGGAAGCACAGTGAAACCCACCATGGTTTGCGCTGGTGGGGATGGAATCACCTCCAGTTGTAACGTGAGTCCAGAGAATGCTGCTCTTAGGGCTTGGTTCCAGACACAACCAGGCCTGATGCAAAGGAGAGCTTAAAAAAAAAAAAAAAACCAAACAAGGAGGAGCTATTCACACTATGACTGCCATTAACTATGTTCCCCCCTTCCTCCCAGGGTGACTCTGGTGGCCCACTGAACTGCCAAGCTGCTGACGGCAGATGGGAAGTGCACGGTATCGTCAGCTTTGGCTCTGCTCTTAGCTGCAATTATTACCACAAGCCTTCTGTCTTCACTCGGGTCTCTGCTTACAATAGCTGGATCCAGCAGGTAAGGTTCTAGAGAATACAGACACTTAGCTCTTTCGGAGGTTCTCTCTGATTCAGATTTCTGCCACTTACTCAGGGAGCTGTATCACTTTTGATTCAAAGCCTACTTTACATACAAGTAGCCTCTGTAGACAAGCCCTTAGCAGTACGAAAGCAGTCTCTGTAGCAAAAATATTGTATCCTCTTCTTAAATAGTTATCCAAATTATTTTCACTTTTAAATAAGTCTCGATGTTTGGGAATGTATTCTCCCTTTATACTAGAGCTCTGTTTATAGTTATAAAGATTTTACTGGTATGTCTTCAGAAGTGATTACTCAAATTTTTATCCATCAATAACACCGATTGTTGCAGTTGCATCCTAGAAGGCAGTGCATGCAGCTCCTGTCTGGAACATCAACTATTTTTTAATTTAATATAAACTTTAATCTAAAAAGTGACTAAGAAGCAAAAAAACCTTATTTCAGTTATTTAAATCCTGAATCTTGGATGCAACTTATACTATTCACAAATGCCTGGGTCTCACGATCTGATTTTTCACTTGTTTCACGTCTTTGTAGGTTATGGCAACCAACTAATCCAAAGAGAACTGGATGACAGACACAAAGAAGAAAAACAGTTTGAATAAAGTCATTGTCATGACACCTTTGATCACAAAGAGTTGGGAAATTATGCTTTTAACAACACAAGCATTACACCTAACCATACTGCAATAAACACTATTTTTTGCAACATGAAAGAAAAACCTGTGTCCCTGTCACTTCTTCCTGTGTATTGTCAGGACCAGAGCCTGTGTTTACCGATAGCGCTGGAGACCTTTTACAGCCTTTCACCCTGCCTGGGCTGGAGCTTGCTACCCTCACCTGGGGGAAGATGCGAGCCTGCTGTGCAGAGGCTGGGCAGCAGGAAGAGTTAGAGCCACAGGAACAACCCGGGGGGGGGGGTAGGGGGTGAGAAAGCGAGTGCCAGCAGGGCTGAAGGCAGCAGCAGGCAGCTGACGGGACCCCCAAGTCCACGAGCAGGACTCGGCAGAGCCGGCGGTGGCAATGCCCAGCGGGAAGGCAGCACGGGTGCAAGCAGGTCCATGCAGGTGAGTGTGGGAGCACTGCAAAATGCTTCTGCAGAGAGGTTTTTAACACCAGGTGAGCTTGGGACTTCGCAAGGGGAAGGGTAACATCCTGCAGTGAGTGCTGGCAGCGTCTCCGCAGACTTCTCTTCTTCACATCCCCGTTGCTCGTTTTTAAGTTGTTCAGATGCCAGGTGAAGACCTCTGAACAGTCACTGTTGGCTCACCCACAGACACAAGTGGAGACTTTTTGCAAAGCACAGGCAGAATCACCACCTTTTAGCCTGGTATTAAATTAAAGCCCCTATTTGTATTTCTTTCATTTTAATAAAAGATAGGCAACATAAAATCAAGGTGAATTTTTGTTGTGTTTTTCTTCTCCCTCCTGACCCATATTCTGGCAGATTCAAGAGTAAAACGATTGATTAAAAACAGAGGACAAGCAACTCAAAGGTAAGCAGTAGATAGCACAAAGAAAAGACTGAAAGTTTGTTGTGAAAATAGAAATGCATCAGAGAGAAATTTTTATAGGCTTGTGGTTGCTTTCAGTCAGACATTTTGCAGTTGTTATCTTTGGATTGAAAGTAAGTAAATAAATATATTTTTAAACATAAATTGTATTACATAAATAAGAGAAAACATGGCTGTTTATCATCTTTGGGAACTAGTATTTTTATTACTTTTCTTCTACTTTACAACCATTGACCACTATTCTGCTGCAAAGAGCCCAGCAGGAACTTGTTTTGCCTAATATCAGCCTCTGCTGAGAAACAGCAGGCTTTATCGGGTTTTTATCTTAAAAAAATGTAATTTCACCTATCTGAAAGAGCAGGGGATCTGAGGAGGGCTTTTTGCAATCACCTCTACTATGCAAAAGGAAAAAAAAAAAAAAAGAAAAAATGGTCTGAGACTGATCAGCAAGTCAGTCCTCTGGTTTGTTCTTTATCAGTGGAAATAAGGGTTGCCCAGTAATTTAGGAGTCACCAGCTTCAGCATAACATCCTGAGTTGTTTTGATGAGTATCGTTAACGTAAGATTGTAAATGATTGATTTATGGTTCTGAAAATGAAAATCGTCAGAGGTTACTTCGCGGTACGGAACATGGATGGCAATTATGTGCAGCATGAAACAGAGGGACAGAAAAGGTAATCATGAAGCTCAAACAGTAAAAATTGGATACGTATATACTTCTGTAAAAACCAAAACTTTGATTTTTTTTTTCCTTTTGAAATGTTTAGACAATATTGTGGAAACATCTGAGGTCATATGAACATATCAACACAAATTCCTATTAAGAACAAATTCTAAAAGTTCTAAAAAAATTCAACAGTTCCAGTTTGTGATCACTGAAATAAGTAATCCATCTCTTCATGGGCTTCCTTAAGATTGGGAAAGAAGTACCACAGAGAATAAAATCTACAGCAAATTATTTTATCAGTCTTAATACTCACAGAAAATCTGTATGATTTCATTTGTGTGTTTTTGCAGCTCTGAGTGTGTCATGGAAACAGTCCCTTTACTACACCTTTTCTTTTAAAATCAAATGTCAGGTGAAACAAAATACAATAAAATGTGTCTTTCAATAACATTCAGCTAATGCATGTTCCCTGTACTTTGTTTCAGAATGCATGTGAATTGTTAAACATCACTACTAGCTCCAGTTATGTTTTCAGGAGCTGCAAGAAACGCCCCAGGGACCAGATACCCCCATTCTTCTTTTTTTTTTAAATTCTTTTTTTTTTTTTTTTTTTTTAAACAGATGTTGTCCCTCCTCCAATGCTGGTGGTAGAAAAACAGTTCAAAGGATTTTGACAGCATGCATGGTCTCCCTCTGCAGCCTCCTTGGAGCCATTTCTTTTGATTTGAGCAACAGCTTAGAAACATGGAGAGACACAGGGAAAGCCCTTCAGGAACTTGTGTCCTGTGAAAACCTTTGGGCTGTTCGCCTCATCTATCTCCTGCAGGAAGAAAGGCACAGCCGGCTGTTCCCAGCAGCAGACAAGAGGAATACATCATTTCATGCTTATCTATTGGGGAATTTAAACTCCCTCTGTAAGGCAAATGAAGCAGAACTGTATTGTAAGAATTGCCAATGCAAGGAGAAAATCTCCATTTGTAGATTTTACATCATTGACATGAGACAAAAATTAAATAGCACAAGGGATACTGAAGCCAGCCAGGTGCTCTCCAGAGCGATCTCTGAACTGCTGGAGCGTTTTAGTAGTCCCCATGAAGATCTCAAAGCTATGAGAGACAATCCTGACTGGGCAGACATAGTAGCTTTTAAACTCATCCTTCAAATTAGAGAAGCCATGCTTAAAGCTCTTTTAATGCCAGCATCTACAAGCTTTCAAACAACATTGCATCATTTTTTTGCCATTCTGAACTATGCTATCTTCTCATCAGAAAGTGTACATCAGTGCTTGATGGATAATGTCAATCTATCACTTCATTTCACCCACTGTGAAGGAATCTCTTTTTTCATCCCATTCCTGGGCTCAGATGACTTTGTGTCCATTGAAGCCTTGGTAAAGGAACTGCGTAATGTGCAGAGCTGCCTACTGCAGCAGGGACAGGAAAAGCTCCTCAAGAAATCTAAAGAAATCCTGTTGACAACAAGCCTTAAGATCAGTCTGTTAGTGATAGCCTGCCTCGTTTACCCCATAATCCTGATGTCCTTCAAACAAATGACAGACTGGATACACAATTATGCTAGGAACCTCAAGGAAAGGACAGAAGACTTGAAAAGGGAGAGGCGCCTAGCTGAGGATCTCTTACACCAGATGTTGCCAAAATCTGTGGCCAAGCAGCTAAGGAAACACCAAAAAGTTGAGGCAGAAAACTATGATCAGGTTAGCAAATGGAGAGGGTGCTGCCACCAAGGGTAGAAAAGTATTCACCTAAAAAAGCACCTACCTTGCCACTGTTTTGAGGAATCTGGTTTTGTACCCATAGTTGAGTCTGGATGGAAATCCAAATATTCACAATGGGTTCTGGAAAGAGCTGTGCAGTGTGCCATGAAGCACTTAGGCTGATGGGGAAGAAGAGCTGAAATTTCCAGAAGCATAGCTTTAGATGTCAAAGATCCTATGTTGGCAAGTTGTTGTCTTTGGGTTTAAGAGCCTACTCATGAGAGCCAGCTAGCATCCTGAGATCATGAGTACACAGGAGCAAGAACTGAGTTTCCTCCTCACAAAAACCAATGTAGGACAAATCCTGTCTGTACTTGTCAGTACAATTCCATAAACATAACTGAGAGCATGGGACTTCGAGAAGGATAAGAGGGATGGATGATCTTGTAGCCTCAAGTGTGTAATGGTAATGAAGCCTGTCGACATAAAAACAAGGGCAGAGTTTGGCCAGCCACCCATTTATTTGCAGCTCTGCCTCACAGCATGCATGCTGCTGTCAATGCTGAATTTAGCAGCTGTGCTGCACAGCCCACAGCCAAAATCCTCATGCCACAGTAATTGCAATTCTATTCACTCTTTCTGTTCACCCTTTTTTCCCACTCTGTTACTTTCAGCTGTGAAACACAATAATAAATGTTTGCATTTAATTCATAGGTGTCATTATCGAAACAGCAACCTGTAATTGCACACTTAATTCTAATTCACAATAGTCATGACATCAAAGGTAGCTGAACCAAGGCAGGGAGTGGAAAGGTGGCTCTTCTGGATTAATTGGTATTACCGAGGATGAATAAAAGAACAATTTTAGTTTAAACACTGACAAAGTGCAGGCAACACAGAGAAGCAGCACTTAATTCTTTGCCAACAGCTATAACACAAATTTCCCTTCCTCAATTCGGTGGTTATGGTTTCTGGTAGTTCTTTCTTTTATAAATCTGATTTTTTTTAAAGTGAGTTTCTCTGTAAATTGCTTGATCATAACAAAGATAAAAATCCTTTGAAGAGAAATAAAATCCAGTTAATATTTCCTAATTCAACAAGAGCAGAGACAGCAGTTGAGTTTTTATTTCACAGTTTGTTCAGATACCTAGTTTTGATCTCTACCACAGTTTAAATCTCTTTAAAAGAAAAATCAGACCCTCCTTCTATGAGAAGTCTTTTTGATCACTGCTCACAAGATTGAAAACATTTGACTTTCGGTCTCCTATCTAGCACAAGGTATTCAGAGAAGTACAGATGATAAACTTTGGAGATAAACATAATTTTATCTGTCAAAGTAACAGAGAACAATTCAGAGCCAGAGCTTGTTAATTTAGGATTGTATCTATTCGGTTCTGCAATACTGGTTCTACGTGCAGCCTGTGCCTTAGGCTGTTCTGCTCAGAATTTCACAAGTCCCCAAATTCTTCAAAGGTTCTGCTGCTGTTGCGTGGAGACCTTGGCTTCACACTTTCCTTCTCCCTGTGACAGGTGACTATCTTTTTCTCGGACATCGTGGGGTTCACAAGCATTGCTGCCTCCTGTACTCCCTTGCAAGTTGTTGAGATGCTCAACAATCTGTACGTCTGCTTTGACAGCAGGATTGAGTCTTACGATGTTTACAAGGTAAGTACAAACCTGCAG